TTTAAAATGAGTATTATTATAACCAGCACATAAGATCACAACACAGATCTTATCGAAATTTTATTATTATGATATTAGTTGAAGTATGATCAAATAGCATAGAAAAATAGAGTATTCTTTCCTCTATCGGACTATGCAGAGAGAAAGTTTCTTTAAGCTTATTATAAGGCATTGAAGCGCTACTGCCACTACTTTTGGATTGCCCTAAGTAGATATAATGTTGGATTTGATCCTGATTGTATCATTTTAATGATTGCTTTAAATGGCTTTAAAAGACGTATCGTTTGTTTCACCAAATACTGATTAATACCGGATATTCTTTGGTGTTGTTTTCGAGGAATTAAAACGACTTTTACCTGTATAAATGATGCATTAATACTTTCCAACAAATTAATTAAAGAAATCCAACGGATAACAATTGCTTGCTGTACTGCAACACCACCAGCTCCTTCAATTTCCTTATTCAAGCCAGCCTAATTAAAATCAACATATCTCATACGATTAATTTGCTGAAAAAGAAGTGTATGAATTTACTTTTTTGATGTATTTTTGCCAACGATTTACATTCAACAATTGATTTAATCAATAGTTGAACAGCTGGTGGAGTATCAATCAATTTTGTTGTCATCATTTGTTCTTTTACGACGTTCGTATAAATATTTAACTTCTTGTTTGCTTTTACCGGTTTTGATGGAATATAAAATGAATCATCATCATCTTCTTCATCACTAGTAGAAGTTTTTTCAATAGAAGTAGCTGATGATGTAGGTAATTGTTTTTGATGTTGGAAGAATGATCGTTTAAGAACATTATTCAATCTATGTCCATAGCAAGTAATCGGATGTAAATCTCGAAATGCTTTTAAAAAATTCGAGGCTTTATCACAGACAATATTAATTGCTGATAAATCGTCAATTCCAAATACTTTCATCTCATTTTGTAAATCCTTCAAGAAAGTAATAATAAACAATATTAATAGAAGTTTATTAGTAAGTCAAATATTAAAATTACAATCAAAATATTTGCAGCAGTTTTTTCAAGTTCTTGAAATGGTTTACAGAAAAGATCAACTGTATAATATTTAAAACCTTCATCAACAATTTCTGCTCATTTACAAGTTGTTGCTAAATCCTGTCGTGAACGTATTAAAGA